CTCAGAAACAACAGGGGGCCAAAGTTTTCCATAGGAATATATAAGAAATATCTTTTAAAAAAATTCTTCTAAACAACAGGTCGCCAGCGTGGCGCAGTGGTTAGAGCGTCTGCTCCAGAATCGCGAAGTAAGGAGTTGATCCTTACGTCAAGGGTTCGAATCCCACCGTGGGACGTGGAGACCGGTCCTTCGGATAAGACCGTATAAACCGAGGTCCCTTGTCGCAGTAGGTGCTGACACGAAAAAGATCCCTTACTGCTCAATGGCCGTAAGTGCCGAGTATAGGACGAAATTTGCAGCTCTCCACCGGCAAGTGGTGGCGTCTCCATATGAGTGAAAAATTCTCGAGAAGGACGTTAAACAACATACAAACAAAATCTAAACAACAGCTAAGCCATTATTAGTAAGATTAATACAAAAGAATCCCCAAGTAGTGTAGATTCAAGTTTATTCAATTCCTGATCCCCGGAGGTAGGGCGGGGCCACAACGGTGGGTCAAATTTTTACATGGTAATAGATAGGTGTAATGGTAAAGGTGTATTTGAGCAAAACGCATTGAAGACTCAAATAGTGGAATAACCTGACAATCTTTGGAATGGATAAGCCAAAAGGCAATTTTTGGGAAGTCAGGCATTTAGAAACTAGCTGAAGACGTTGGCTGTTGAATCAGCAATAAAGAATTCAAGGGTAAGAACACTATAAAAGTTATAAGAAACAGTGGCAAGTATCCTAGGGAATTGATGTTAAGTTCTAGGTGTAATTAATCTGAAAAAAAAGAATGACACACCCGGTTCTTATCTATGCATAGGAACCTAGGGGAGAAACACATGTACAGTACCAACCAGACCCAACCTGACACCTAAGCACTCCCAGAAAGCAGTCCCCGGGACTGCTCTGGGACAGCTCTGGGACAGCTCTGGGACCGCTGTGGGACTGCTCTGGGACCGATATGGGACTGCTCTGAGACTGCTGTGGGACTGCTCTAGAAAGTAGACGCAGCAATCCCTGGGACTGCTTTCTGGGACTGCTTTGTTCACTCATGCGTGAAAAATGTTCTGAGTGACATGATACTGTAGCTCCTCCTCTTGTGTATTCTGAATTTGCAGCTCCCTGTTGTTGTTTTGTTTCTTTCTGCAGAGAGGTGTTTAAGATAAAACATAACAATAAAAAAAACCCCAAGTAATTCTTATATAAATTAAATAAGGAGAGATAGCACTAGTTATACCTGTAATTACAAAATGTCTTCAGGGGCTGTAAATTTACACAATTGTAGTCTAGAATTAATTTTTAAAAATGAAAGTAGTTAAAAAGGGAAGTCAAGGGATGATTTCTATCCCTTAAATTATTTTGATACAGGTGTTCAAGGCCTATTTAATAAATTATTAAAATTAATGCTGTCAAATTTTGTACTCAAAGTTTGCATTAGCAATATTTAAAACAAACAAACAAACAAACAAAAAAAAAACAAAAAAAACAAACAAACAAACAAACAAACATGTCATTTCAGTAAGATATTCAGAGGGAAGTACTGTACTGGATGTTTTTTTCTTAATTGTAAAAGCTAATACCATGCTTAAAAAAGAGCACTGCATGCTACTTTTTACCGCCATCAAATAAAACCTAATAATTTATCAAATGACCATAAAATAAAATCATTCCACCATTCTACTGTCACATAAACGATGTGAACAATTATTGGGAGATTTATTTATGAATTTGTTTTTAATTTAGAAACAAGTTGTTAAAAGAGTGCATTTTTAAGAAAAAAAATAAACATTTGAAAATATTGGGTATTGTGACTTATTTCTTATTTGTTGTGTTTGTGATTACCTGGCCGATTAATAAACAGCAATACAGTTGTTTAAAATGGTGTCAACACCTGAGGTTTCAATATCCTTGGGCATAATCAGCAGAAAGTCAATGCATGTTATTTGGGTATCGGTGTTACACATCTCTGAACACGCTGGTCAACAATGATACTAATTTCAATCTATGTACTGCAAAAAATCTTTGTTTCAATAATTTCGTTTAAACTTATTTTGGGATTAATTATTTTTGAGCATAATCTGAGGGTTCCATTCGCGTGATTTACAGATGTACACTCGAATATTTATATAAAAAAGCACTTAAAACGATGAATCTAACGGTGATTAAATCGGCAAGTCATTGAAAATAATAAGTACTGAAATATAACACTCGGCAATCTTTAATAAAGAATTTTTTAAAAGCTCCAATTCTTAAGAAAAATGCATTCAGGGTATTGTATGGGAATCGACCTTGCTTTATAATTATAAGATCTATTTAAAGCTTATTCCGGTAGAAGGTAGAAAATAAACAATTCAAGTTTAATATTCTATATGAAAAATAAATATGAAAACCAATATCAATCACAGAAAATAAAGAAATTGATTTATTTTGGTGAAAAATTATTATACCAAAAAAAAAAAAAAAAAAAAAAAAAAAAAAAAAAAAACTGTGTTTTAATATTCCTGTTTAAATAGGTGTGAACGTTTTCTTCAATCATTAATTACTGTGATTTTCTTAACAGCTACAGAAATGACTGGCACGTAAGAATTGTAAATATTTGTTGATAATACTCAGAAAGAAATGATCAGCAATTTCCTTTTATAGTTACATTGTTTATTGGTAATCTCAATCTGAGTAAGCTCCGCCCATTTAATTAGTAACCCGCCCACTTGGACTGCTGGGGCAGCTTTTTGGAACTGCTTTCTGGGACCGCTGGAACTGCTCTGTGACTGCTTTGTGTCATGTTGGGTCTGGTTGCTACTGTCCCTTACCCAGTTCCCGTCTCTAGATAAGAGAAAAGTTTTAGTACTGTGTGATTTACCCTCAGACAGAACAGTCTTAATAATAGTTCCAATTATAAACTCAGACAGCTTTCAGACAATTTTTGATTTGAATATTTCGGATTTCCAGTGTTTTGGCATGGGCATCATAGAAAAGACATAATTTGTCGAAATGCGCATCTGGTGCATCAAAATTGATACCGTACAAGATTTGCATTGTGGTCCCTGAGTCCAGGCCTCTGCTGATGGGTTGTTAGTCCCCGATGCTCTTTACAGCCCAGTAGCTAAGTACTTCGGTACAAACTTGAAAATAAGAATAAATTGCTGTATTGATATTTAGTAATTTGATACAAAATTAAGGATTATCTCCCTCATGCATAGCTGTGATCCTTTGACATATTTTGCTCCAGTCTTTGGCTCCTCTTTTTATAGATCTTCAAAGATTTTTTAATTTGTATATTTCGGATTTCCAACGTATCGGCATGAGCATCATTGAAGAGACATGATTTGTCGAAATGCGCATCTAGTGCATCAAAATTGATAACGTACAATATTTACAGAGTAAAAGAAAAACATATGTAATCCTTATAAGAAACTGATCACACAGGTTACATAGGAAATATCTTTAAAAATCTTCTTTTCAAGAACAAATAAGCCATTATTAGTCATTCTCATATAGAAGCAACCTGAGGTATTGTAAAATCAAGTTTTTGTTTTAATTATGACCACCCATAGGTCGGGGGGGGGGGGGAGGCAACAGGGGGTCAAAGTTTTATTGAATGAAAATATATAGGAATCTTGAAAATATCTTCTGCTCAAGAACAACAAAACCATGTTTAGTCATATCATTACAGAAGCATCTTTAGATAGTGTAGATTCAAATTTGTTCAAATTTAAGGTGGGCCACAGTGAGTGTTTTACATAGTAATGCATACGGAAAAAAATCTTTTAAATTCTTATGCTTAAGAACAGCAAAGCCATGATTAGTAAAATATATATTTAAGTATCCTTAGGTAGTGTAAATTTATACTCCTTACCGCAAACTTTTCAAAACTGAACTGATATCTGCTTTATCCTATCCAATGTGCTCAGGTGAGTGATGTGGTCAAGGGGCCTCTTGTTCTAAATTGTGCCTTAAAATTGATTACTTTATCTCGCAAAAGATTTATTACGCAAAAATTGATTTTGTACATAAACTGCATGTACAGCTAGACAAACCTTTTGAACGTCAAAGACACATTTTTTGAAGAATGCATGTAATTGGTCAACGACGATTACCAATGCGCAGCTAGGTTAAGGACTCCCATATCTATCGTCAGCCTATGCAGAGGATCGGGAAAGCTATTATGACGTCACGTTAAAACAATTCAAATTAATCTCGATGAATGAATACTATATGTTCTTTTTAAAACACACTGAAATGCTTTCGTTTCTCATAATTATTATAAAGATAAATAGATGTGCAACTTATCTTGCCAAAATAGTCAGCACTTTGAGTATGTAGAATGAAAACCAGCTTGATATCGCTCTACTTACTGAGATGACGTCATTTCTTAGTTTGACATGCCGCTTCTCTGTACTTAAGGCGTCGATCAAGCTATTATCGGAGCTTTTAAAAATAAAAATTTAAATGAATACAATACAAGCTTAATTGGACCAACGTAAATACATATTCTAAAATATATAAATCAACATTTTATTGTCAGACTACATTGTAATTGATAATGTGTAGACTTTATATATTACTGTAGGGAGCACATTTGTACAGTAACGTGCTAGAACAGGGAGTGCAGTCCCTCGAAAATATCAAAAGTTCAAGGATATCTGCTTCACTATAAATTCTAATTTTTTTTTGCAAGTGAAGCTGTTAATACTACTATTCTGAAAAGTGCTGGGAGCTGGGTGTGCATTGCATATTTATTCCGTAATGTAACATTATTCAAGGGCGTATTACATCTATGTCTGGAGTTTATAGAAGGATGGCTAAATTTCACACAATTCCCAAGCATGAGGAGAATAATATTGCTCCCAGCACTTTTCATGTTAAGAAATTTGTCTTAAACAAAACAAAATAATAAATTTTATAGCGGAAAGATACCCGTATATCGTTGAACTTTTACGATCTTTGTAGCAGTACATAAGTCATGTGCTCAAATTTTAAACCTGTCTCGTGACAGACAGCTGATGTAAGCGATGTCGCTTTGGCCGAACTCAGGAAAGACCCGGTATATACAAGTGCAAACAACACAATTCACATTCATTAAAACTGATGCTGTTAAAAAAAAATTGTATTCATTTTCTCATATTTGAGGCGTATGTTTCATGGACTTCCTTAACCTAGCTGCATGTATTTCAAATTCATTCCGTATGCTTATTTCATATAAATAGTAATTTTGTTGTATAGTACATTCTCTCTCAGATATCATTTCATAAAAAAACATTTTTTCAAAGGTTTTTGACAGTGTTCCCTGGATGACTGGTATGACAATTGCTGTTGTGAAAAAGTCCCAGATTATGTTCATAAAAGGTTATGGAAAAACAGCCATAGACTCGGACACTCAAGTTACCGAACACACACTGTTTCTACTCGGTTCAATTTCCAAATCCTTTACAGCAACGCTACTTCTTAAGCTAATGGAAAAGCAAAATCCTCCGTAAATATTCTAACAGATAATTAAATTTAGCGTAAAATCATACAAGGTAAAATATATGGATCCAAAAATTATCTACGTGCATGATTACAAACAAACGATAAAGATTACAAGAAGAGTAAATGACTTTGAAACCTGTGGACCTTTTCACAAAAAAATCTTACGATATATTTTTATCTTAAGTGAAAACTTATGATGAAAATCGTTTTCAAAAAATTCTTAAGAAAGCCCTAAGTGCAAAATCTGTCGTACCTTTACGAGAGTCTCAACCCTCTCTTAAGTATTATACGAGGGTTGTACAAAAATTCTTTAGACTAGCGTCGTTTTGTAGTTACCCGGTGTCATAAATTAATGAAACTTTCAAAATAACTAAAACTACTAACAACTAATATTTTCAGTGTAAAACATTGCGTAATTACACATATTTATTCTATTTAAATGAAATAATTCAATTTCTGATGTAAAGAGGCGGCTCAATCTCAAAATTTGCTATTGAAAATCGGTATATAAAATGTAAAATCTCGCAAAAAAGGAAATTCTTGTCAAAATTTCGTGGGATAAAAATGATAGTTTCTCAAATTACATAAATAACTATCTACAAAGAAATCATCGTCAAAGCAACACAGTGAAACTCCATTCGGAAAGACGAACAAAATTAAATCCCTCGGAGATAAGGAGATTTTTATGAATTATTAATAGATGCATGCAATTTAAACTTTTTTGGCGTATATTTTAATGTTAAGTACATCATAACAATTATATTTCATACTTATTTCACAAATCTTTATGTTAAAGTAGAAAATGTGATTCTTATAATTAATGCATTTTCCCCAAAAATTCGTACCGGTGACATTTACATATTTTTTGACGTCGGAGATTGCCCCGGGTGGTAGGACACAGTAACATTAAAACTCCAATTAAACGTACGTTTTTCAAGTAATGATGTTAAAACGTCGTAATTTATCAGCTAAAAACACACTTTATACACCCACAAAATTATATATTAAGATACCTTGATTTATGCAATAGATATAGACTCAGTTTACGGAATTTTGGGACAACCCTCGTAAAACCGATTTTATCATAAAAATATAACCGCAAAAACCAAAATACACGTTACACTGAACTTTTTAAAGCAACTTCCTATAATAAAGCATATTTTTTCCACAATCATTGTCGAAAAATTTAATGAAAACACTACAAAATATTTACTATGTAAGTTTCACTTAAGATTTTCGTATGACTACTTCTACGTCAGATTGTGATTGTGACGTCAGATTTTAAACTCCCTTGCTTCACAAATGATTGCATTCGATATTTGTTGTCAATAATGTTTGTTATGCTGATAAATGTTGAAAACTAAGTTTTATTTTTATTTTCATCCACTTATTTAATGACTATAAAGCATATTGAAGTCGTTGCTAGGGATGAAGTCTGTCGTAAGTAAAATCTGCTACGAATGCGTTCGTGAAAAGCTCTTAAGATTTGTCGTAAGAGATTCTTAAATTAAAATCTTACGCAAAAACTTAAGCTTTTTTTGTGAAAAGGACTACTGTTTTTTAAAGTTAGACTTACGCCATTTTTAACGTGCATGTTAAAAAATGAAACTATAAAATAAGAGTTTATGATTACACTGACGGCATTGTTGTGTAGATTGGACCTCTCTACTAATATCAGGGAGATGATGGAGGGTGGTTTCGTCTTCTTTGATAAGGAACGAACTCAAAATGCCAACTTAGTGGACATTCTAGCACACAGGATGGGAAACCCTGAACATGACTTTTTACGATTAGATCCTTCCATAACTAGAGCAGATTTACCTAGGTAAGAAAGGGAATAGGAATCTAATGAAACTGTGTGGCATTTTAAATGCATTAATTGCCAAAAATCCAGTACAATATTTTTGTGTTATTAGGCTGTTTAAACACATGACACAGGGGATAAAAAAATTCAGAGAATCTTTTAAATATTCCTGCATGATGTACGAATTTGCCACATACCTAACCGAAAAACTCGCTAATGGTCAGCCATGGGAAGACCTGGTGGCGAAAGAGATCTTTGCTCCTCTTGATATGACATCCTCTACGGTTGTAACAAAACTGCAAACTGTGGAAAATGCTGCACAAGGATATTTTGAAAAATCATCATTAGTACCTGTTCCATTTGAATTCATCAGGTAGATATTTGATATTATTGTTCATTTTCCTCTCTCATATCTTAAGACGTCTTAACTAAATGGACGACTAAGGCCAATAATAGGATTTACTCAATAACATCAGTCATCTGTAATAAAAAAAATGTTACAGGTTTAAGATTTCACTAATAAATTTAAGCTTGAATTTAAATTGAAAAGTCTTATAAGAGTTTAGATATGAATAGCTGTGTACCAAACAGGAACTTTCTTAGTCAATATATGGGCCTCAAGAAAGATGTAACTTTACTGAAATGCTTCTAGAGTGAATCACGTGACAAGACATGGCGTAGGACGCATTATTTTACGAGCACTTCTGAGGTGAACTAATATAGTGTATGTCGTTATATGTCAGTGTGTATTTGGTTTGCATAAGCTTGTGGTGGGAGTGGACAACGCATGGTGAGTCGTCAGTGATTTATTTTGCAATTTAATATAGAAATTCCTAGTGTGCTTATATTTTGTATGACTTCGCCATGAGCCGATTAGTGTTCACACAAGCATGGCCAGTAAAGTTACTAGTCCCTTAACTACACCGCCAGCTAGTGGTAAAGTCAATAAAAAGAAAAAAAAATATCATTCAGTTGAACATTAAATCGGCATCTACTTCGGTAAAAACACCGTTGTGTCTGAAAAAAGCTGCAAAAAAGCCTCGGATAAGTAGTTCAGACCAAAACCTCGTCGGTGCCCCAGACAGTGAAAATGACCTACATTCATTACAAGAAAGTCTTGATGAAATAAAGCAAGGGATGGTAACAAACGATGATATTGGTGAGATTGTGAAGAAAATATTGTTAGAGCAGAATTTGTCAAGAAATCAAGATTACAATTAAAGATGAAATAAAAAAGGAAATTAAAAATGAAATTAAAGCCGAGATAGAAAAATTCACACACAGGAATGGTGATGAAAAAATGAAGCGTGCTAACATTGACAACACAGAAAAATTTGATACCTTGCATTTAGACTTAAATGATGTAAGAGAGCAAATCGCAAAAGAAAAAAAAAGAGTGACACAAATCTAAGCAATGACCTAGCTGTAGCGTCTATGAACACTCAACATGCAATATCAATTTCAAACTTTAACCAATAATATTCTCAAAAATGCAATTTTACAACATTGGGTTGGCGTGAACAGCCAAAAGAAAATCTTAAAAGGGACTTTTGCACATTTCTTAAACAAAAAGTTGATCTTGATGTGGACACTACGGATATCATAGCAATGCACCGAATCCCCGGAAATCGGAATGGTGGATCGCGACCGGTCATAGTGCGGATGACCAATACGGAGGCCAAAACAGACATTACCAAACATCGCAAGGCAATGAAAGAGGAATTTGTTATGATGGATCACATCAGTCAAATAAACGCCAAACTCATACAGACAATAAAGGATCACGAACTGGTGCATTCCGCCTGGTCCTTTAATAGTAAAGAGTTTGTCCTGGACGAAAACAATAGCAGCCACACATTTGATTTTTTTGATAATATCACCAAAAAACGTAGAGGGTGATTTTTAAAGTTCCATGAAAGAAGCGCACTCAAAACACTCAATGCACTACGATCGAGCTCATTGCTTTGAGATCTCGGGATCGGTATTCCGGAAAGCACATTGTTTACGTCCAGCAGTTCTTAACGGGACTTACTTGACACTTTTTGTTTGTTTCTTTTGGTATATATATATATGTGTGTAAGTTGTGAGAGTGTTGCCTATCAAATCAGTATCACCATATTTCAAGATTATGTTATCATATTCTTTTCTTTTCTGTGCTGTCACTGTACAGTCGTTCATTGACATAAATATTGATCAATGAGTCAAAGTGTATTGTCCCTCAATTGTAGAGGGCTTGTTGGAATAGAGAAACGGAGAGACGTTCTCAATTATTTAAAACAAAAAACAAATTTCTATACATTTTTTTCCATCACACCCACTTAAATGAAAATGATATCAGCCTTGTTAGATCTTTATGGGGATTTGATGTATATTTCAGCCCTGGTAAATCAGATGCCAGAGGAACGGCGATACTTTTTAACAATAACATTGAATATAATGTAACAAATAAATATATGGATGAAACAGGTAATCTGGTCATTTTAGACGTTAACCTAGCAAAAAATAATTTTTATTGGTAAATTTATATGGACCCAATACAGATCAGCCTGATTTTTATAGTCTGATCAGAGATAAAATTGAGAATTTCCAGAATGAATTTGACTTAATGGGAGGAGATTTTAATTTAATTCTAGACTTTACTCTAGATTGCTATAATTATCGTAACATTAATAACCTCAAAGCAAGAGAGACCCTGCTTCAGTTAAAAGAAACCCATGACTTATGTAACCCCTGGAGGACTAAATATAATAATTCTAGAAGAAACACTTGGTTTAGAAACAATCTAGTAAAAAAGGCCAGACTTGTCTACTTTCTGATATCAAATGTAACAATGACCTTTGTAGATAAGGTTGATATAAACTCGGGGTACAGAACTGATGACTCAACTATTGAACTTCATATTTTATTTTCAGAGTTTAAGATGGGTAAAGGGTTCCTGAAATTTAATAACACTCTCTTAAAAAATGAAAATTATATACCGGTCAACGAAACAATGAATAGGATTAAACTTTAGTATGCAGTGACACCATATAATCGTGCAATGATTAAGGATATAGAAAACACAAAAATTAATTTTATAATTGATGATCAATTATTTCTACATCAGCAGTCTCGTTTAAAGTCATCACTTTGTAAGTTTTATAGTTTGATAGAATGACCTTGTCAGCAAATACAATCTTTCATTAAGTCAATTGCTGAATATTACAAACTCTTACAGTTTGGATCAGAATATGTTTTTTTAGTAAAACAACAAATACTAGTATTTGGGCTGTTCGAAAATTATTGAGACAATTACTTTTACTCCACAGAGGACAGAGATAAATTCATGAAAGCTCGTCAACATTTCATAAAGAACAAATAAAACAACTGTGCAAATTTTCTAATTTATAGGATAATTAAATAGGTTCCGGTGAAATTATAAACACGCATATGTCTATTGACCTGGAGCAGCATCGCTAAGTCATTTTATCGCCTGGTCATCCGATATTTTCTCATTGTGAAATGATCGGGAATCGTTCAATCTACTTTCTCTGTCATTATATATAACATTCCAAAATTCAAACTGTCTCTTATAATTCTTAAACAATTCTTCAAAATAATAATAATAATAATAATAAAATAAAATAAAACTTGTGCTGTTACTACCCCAGTGTAAAATATACACGAAGTGTCATACACAGGTTGACTTAGCATCATGCAGTATCGAGTTATGCAACGCGGGTCAACGTTACTTAGTCCGTAATAATTGATGATCGTCCGAAGCTTTTGTTTTTACTCTGGTTGAATTATTTGTGAGAAAAAATATACCAATGAAAAAATAAACCCTTAGACATGTATTGCATTGTGCTTGTTTTAGCAGGTCGTTTAGTCTGGACCAGAGTTCTCAATACCGCTACACAAAATTTTAGGTATGCTCGCTGCTCTGCCTTGACGTCAAAATCCGTTTTGTCGATTGCTATACCGTGCTTAATTTTTTTTTAAATGATTTCCGTTTTTCTGATCGAAATTCTAGCAAACCTGCACAAGATGAAGTCACAATTAAATCGAAAAATTATATACATAATTTGAATTATTTTTGCTCTCACTATGGATCCACTGGGAGTTTTAACGTTGGTGTTACAAATTTTCATTATCTGATTTCGTGACTGCGCCGGGTACCGCCACCATTGACACATTTATATACCATTGAAAAGAAGAAATAAAAGAATTTAAAAATATTTCTTGCTTTTATTAATTCTTAGTGTTTGTCAAACGTATATGCAAATTTTCACCGAAAAAACGTTGATTAGAAAGAAGAATATACACAATGTCTCAATAATTTCCGAACAGCATCGTATGGTTCTTGCAGTAAATCATTATAAAACTTCTTTCTATCAAAGCGTTATAACCAACCTGTATGTGTTACAAAATGGACAAGAGAGTTAGGTTTGCAAAATGACTTTAACTGGAAAGATCTTCTTACAAGTTTAAAATACATAACTAAAGATTCAAACCTCAAATGGTTCAAGTATAAGACTTGTAAATTATTGTTTTTATCTAAAATTAAAGATAACCCACTGTGCTCTGTCTGTAATCTTGAGCAGGAAACTTTGAAGCATCTTTTTAATTACTGTCATCCTGTGAAGGAAATATGGGATTGTTTAGAAGAATGGATTTTACAAAAAAAGACTGGAAAACTGGAAAAAAATATTAACCTAGACCCAATTTCTGTTATATTAGGTATTTCTGGCAAAGAAAACACAGCTTTAAATGTCATTATCTTGCTTGTAAAACATTATGTATACCAAAAATCTAGAAATTGTAAACTTTTAATATTTAACGAAGTTAAAAATATATGTAAATACTATACTTTTGAAATATATTTGTTTGCAATAAATATGGATGACATCAAGTTCAAAAAGAGATGGTTATTTTTGTACTATTTATTTGAAAAAATAATAATCTATATATAACATTGATAAAGAAACATTGCAGTTTTAACTTTGTATTTTTTCTTATAATGATAGTAAACATTGTAATTTGTAAACATACATATATATGGAATAAACATTTTTTAATATAATATATGTATAGGTGATACTGTAATGGAATGAGTGAGAAGAAAGAATATATGAGTGAATGTTTCACAAAAATCCGCAATGTTTATATGTATATATATACTGTTATCTGAATGTTGAAATGCGGAAATTAATAAATAAATTTTTAAAAAATGCTTCTAGAGCATTGAAAAATTGAAAAATGAATTTTTTTTTTTTCCTATGACAAAACATGTAAATTAATAAGAAAAATTTCAATGCAAAATGTTATGAATTCAAACACCCCGATAAATATCAGTTACATGTAATACAAAAATGCATTCATGCAATACATTAACATTTTAGGGTGTTTATATTTGAATTTCGTCATGCAATAATTCTGAACACAATTAGTGAAAACAAATTTTATAGTATTGGTGCAGAGTAACAAAATTTTAAAAAATGTGTAATTTGCTGAAAGGAGTGTCAGTGGGAGGATATTATGAAATGAAGCGTCTTTTATCAGTTATAGTTTCTTTAGTTCAAAGCACACTTATGCTGAAATAGAAACAAGGATGTTTATACGTTTAATGCTTCTTCCAAACGCAGATTGTGGCAAACCTGGGCAGGTTCGGGCGGAATAATGTCAAACGCTGTGGATATGGCGAAATACATGAACTTCCACCTCAGCAATGTAGACAAAGACGGCAACAAATTCATGTCGGACAAAAACTTTGCTGCTCTGCATCAAGAGCATAATAACAAATTGTCAAATTCCACTGTTAACAAAATATCTAAGGAACTAGAAGTACCAATAATTGAAAATGGCTACGGTCTAGGCTGGAAACTAGGAAAATACAGAGGTATAGAATTAGTTATAAGGCATAATTTGTGAGAGGAATGTTCTTAGCTAAAATCATTGATACATTAAATTATCTTGTTTTAAAACCTGAGAACGTAAATGTATTAAAATAAACTATATCCACCTAGAAAAAAAATCATTCCTGTGCTTCTTCAAAACAGGATCTGAAGGGAACTCAAAATCTATATATATGCTCCGGATCAAACTGTCCGACAAGAGTTAAGAAACAATAACATCATCTGAGAAGCGCAAAAATACTTTTGAATTATTTTGATATTATCCTGAATTCATATTAAAGTGTAACATATACCATATGCATGAAAGAGCTTAAAAAGAGTAGCGTTTTTCGCTGTCCTTTTTTCTTATTAAGCCAATTTTAAAATATGATGGTTTCTTGCTTGCTTTAGGGAAAAAATTTCTCTACCTCAATTTTCATAGAGTCGCATTGCTCTCAAATATATCGTAAACATACATTACAAATAAGAGAAAAAAACAATGTACAGCCTTAACGGTGGCATTACTTCAATGTAGTAGATTCTGTAAAGAAATCTAAGAAACATTGTAGCGCACTAGCTTGATTCCAATGCAAAGACAATTGTTCATCATTTCATTTAGTTTAATAGAATATTTTCATATAATTATTTTTATTAATATTATTCATGTAAAATTAATGAAGAGTTTTTGAAAGTATGTAGGTCTAGCCACTAAATTAAATTTTTTGAAAACTTTTAGTCTGGCATCAAACTGCAGGATTAAGCAAACACTGAAAAAAGTAAAAATTCTTCAAAGTCATTTTGTGTACTCACATAATTCGTCATTCAAATGCATTCTCGTTTTAAAGAAGGTAAAAAGTATTTCAATGCAAGACCTTCTTTTCCTACAGATATGAACCAAAGATTGAAAATATGAAATATGAGTATTTTATGTTATCGGAAACAAGTCTGGGCCTAAATAACTGCAAATCACTATCATAAGCCCGAATATTTCCAAATTTCATTTAACGTTGTTTACTGAAGATTTTTAATGACCAATTAAGAAATTCCTATGCATTAATAAAAGTTATGAGTTTAAATGAGACTTTTCTTGCTTTCAGGATATTACCTAAACTTACTAAATTTGCAAGTACATGTATTTGTTTATAAAGTCATTTTGTCTTTGCATTTTTGAACAAAAATTATTCATTTATTTGACAGGACATGACATTCTCCAACATAGCGGCACAACATACGGTTATTGTTCCTTTATAACCCTTTTCCCCGAGCAAGAAATCGGAATCTTTACAGCTATGAACGGAAATGATAAAAAACATATTATAAGTTTGTTACTGCATAGCTTCCTTTCTGATGTTGCATTAGAAGTGACACCATATTTGAATGCTGAATCCATATGCTCTAAGATGAAGAGATATGCAGACGAAAAAAATTCAATCCAAAATTTCGAAGAAAAATATTCAGTTCAAAATTTCGAAGAATATGTAGGAGAGTATACCAACATAATTTACGGAACCCTAAAAATAAAAAATATCAATTCCAATTTGAGTTTAGAATATGGTAACTGCAAATGGATCCTCTGGAAACAAAAGGACGAGGAGAAGTTTTTGGCGAAAGGTACTGGGATGATCAAGGACTTGATTGATTTTGGTCCTATTACATTCCAGACCGAAAAGGAAGGTGTTTGTGTTACAATTGAAAAGTTTGGCATCATTCGTCCTCCCCGGGTTAAATTTCGTAGACCCCTAAAACAAAAAGTATGGAAATGTCAGACAGATGTACAAATTGTTACGAAGTTTGAAAAAAAAATGAAAAAAAAAACTTTTAACTTAATGACTTGTTAAGAATTAATATATATATATATATATATATATTTCACAGTTTTAGTAGTTGCAGGGTATAATTTGAAAACCGAAAAAATGACTAATTGGATACGATGATCTGTCATATTTAACACTCACATTTATATGTAGAAGAGATATATTTTGTAAGAAAAAAGTAATTATATTTAATTTATTTTGCGTAGCATTAACGAAATGTAGTCAACAAGTCATGCATTGCTAACATTTCGACATATATCTTCTTAGCATGATATAAAGATGTTTCCCTTAGACTTCAGTTTCCTAAAAAAAAAAAGTCTAAAGCCAAGGGCATTCTGTATCGATTAAAGCCAGAAGTTCATTTTAAATTTCGAAACATTTACATTTGATTGAAATATCATGGTTAATACATAACTAGAGATTTTTTTTTTACATTTGAAAACATGAAGTAATGAAATTCATCATTAATTTCATTGCAATTACATAATTTAGAAATTCTATTCCTTCTGGGGATGTTTAACAATCTTCCAGTCTCAATAAGTAATATTGTATTCACAGTTCTAAATGCTCAATATTTTTATATTGTTTATGAGGATAATTTCAACCAATATTCCTTTTAATGGCCTATTTAATCTTTTTAATTTTTAATAAATGATCTTTTTTGTTTAAAATTCTATAACTCAGACCTTGAGGAGAAGTTTGCACATCACAACACCACGATTGCTTAAAGACATACACGCTATAGCTTGCGTCAGTTAAAAAATAATGTGGAAATTTATTTATTTTGTTTACGAAATAAAGTTACGAAAATACTATGAATAAGACAATTGAAAATGTATGCGTTATGAAGATGTCAAATTATAATTATTTATTTTCCTGCCAGGAAAGTAATCACGTGACACCGTCGCTATTTTTAGATTGATTAACGAAAATGGCGTCTAAAAAAGGTTAGCCGTTTGGTATAAAAATAACGTTTGACATGGATGAAACGCGTCTAATGCTTAAGATTTAACTTTTAAAACAACCAGTATTAACCATCTACTCTGTAATGACAGACATTAACCTTTTATTCATAATCGTAGACAAAATGCAACGTACCTTTTTGTATATGAGTTCACGGGGACCTCCCAGTCTATATAGTGTCAACACAAGACCTTCATCAATATTCATGAAAAGGCTTAATTCTTGATTGCAGATCTTGCTAAATTGTTTTGTAATTAAAGCGACTTATTTTGTAAAATAAAAAAAATGTCGAAAGTATTATTTCATTATACATCATGTTTCTCAAATCATTTCATCATTTTCTTTCACAAGAAAAAATCGCGTTTATATAGCGTGTATATCTTTATACTAATCTAAAAGAGTAGCGAATACCTTTTTCTTACCAAGATATTTTTTTACCACAAATCGGTTTGTTTTTTGGTTTATTGTTGTTTAACGTCCCTCTCGAGAATTTCCCCTCATATGGAGACGCCACCAAATTCATATACTCAACTCATATTTAAGACAATTTTCATGACTTTTAAAAACATTAAAATGTAAGGAAGCAAAAAAGCCCAAACCATACCTTCTTCTTTATGCAGTAGGATATAAGTTATGCAGCACTGGCTAAAGCCTTCGGTTTTCAAGAAATGGCTAAAGCAAACAGACATCCAGCACTGATGAAGACAGCAATCATCCAGTATTGGATAAAATCAACAATTATCCTATAGTGGCCAAAATGCTTGCATGAATTGTTGCCAGAAATCTCTGTTCCCAGCGGGGCCCTGGTTCTGTGGGCTTTTCTTAAAGAACATTTTGAGATTTTATTTTTCAGTTATGTATAAAAAAAAACACTTAAATGTATTTGTTGTCAAATATTTTTTAACTGAATGTATTGAATCTATTGCATTAAAATACGTATATATTGTATATGAAACCAGAAGTCTCTGATGAGACTGTAGCTCTACTATTCTGTTTGTATAACAAAAGAAAAGTAGCACTTGGATTTGAAACATTGCAACATGCAACAATAAATAGAATTATGTATCTTAATGTAGTCTACTTTTGTGACAAGTTATATTGAAATCAAATGAAAACTAGGAGTAGTAGCTTTTTGAAAGTATTTCACGGAAATTTCTATTTTTAGTAACCATGACAACACCATTCACCCGAATAAAAAAAAACAGAAATACATATTATGTATCGTAGTGTATTCTAACTGTGTGCCAAATTAGATTGAAATCAGACCAAAATTGTAGGAGGAGTAACGTTTTAAAGGAATTTCAAAGAAATTTCTATTTTAAGTAACCATGGCAACACTGTTAATCGAATTCAAAAACCAATGCAATAAATTATGTATCTTAGTATAGTCTTCTTGTATGCCTAATTATATTAAAAGCAGACTAAAACTGTAGCAGGAGTAGCGTTTTAAAGAAATTTCACAGAAATTTCTATTTTTAGTAACCATGGCAACACCGTCCATCAAAATCAAAAACTGATGCACTAAATTGTGTATCTCAGTGTAGTCTACTTGTGTGCCAAGTTATATGGAATCGGACTAAAACTGTAGGAGGAGTAGCGTTTTAAAGGAATTATTTCACAGAAATTTCTACTTTTAGTAACCATGGCAACACCATCCATCGAAATCAAAAACCGATGCACTAAATTATGTATCTTAGTGTAGTCTACTTGTGTGCCAAGTTATATTGAAATCGGACTAAAACTGTAGGAGGAGTAGCGTTTTAAAGGAATTTCACAGAAATTTCTATTTTTAGTAACCATGGCAACACCGTCCATCGAAATCAAAAACCGATGCACTAAATTATGTATCTTAGTGTAGTCTACTTGTGTGCCAAGTTATATTGAAATCAGACCAAAACTGTAGGAGGAGTAGCGTTTTAAAGGAATTTCACAGAAATTTCTATTTTTAGTAACCATGGCAACACCGTCCATCGAAATCAAAAACCGATGCACTAAATTATGTATCTTAGTGTAGTCTACTTGTGTGCCAAGTTATATTGAAATCGGACTAAAACTGTAGGAGGAGTAGCGTTTTGAAAAATTGTTTACAGACAGACGGACAGACAGACAGACAGACAGACAGACGGACGGACGACGGACACCTTACTATCGCATAAGCTCTTCTGGTCTCTGACCAGTAGAGCTAAAAATAAGGTCCTCATGTGCATGCTAAGAGTAAAGGATATCAGTAAAACGAAGTTCTACAAAGACTATGCAGTTTCAGTATCATTCAGTACATTGAATTATCTGACCCTGTAGCTTAAGTATGCTCAATAATTTTGGTTGCATATTTTGGTTACATTAGATATATTTTTTTTGCATTAGTCCTCAGTTGTATATCTATAAACAGAAAATATTTTCAATACTCTTTCCCTAAATATCTAAACATTTACATAGGCTAGTTATACATAAGACAATATTCAAATTCTAAATGGCTGTTAGAATGTATTATATTTTGCCCTTTGACAGGTAAGATGTTATCCTTTATTAAATGCCTTTAGAACTGCCAGGATTGACTGCAATTTTCGGAAATTAAAATGTTGTTTTATAATGCATCGAGACATACCCTCCTCTTTTTGTCGGGTTCATTGTTTTGTGATTGTACAGCATTGTTTATTTTGTGAATCAATCTTATTTTTCAATAACTTGTCGAATTATTATTGTCAGTAATTGCTTTAAATTTTCTTATTTTTCAAAAGACTTTTCTCTTACATTACCAAATCAGTTGGTTAACAATAATAGGTTGTTTTTGTAAAAAAAAAAAATAAAAAAAAAAAAAAAAAAAAAAAAAAAAAAAAAAAAACAGCAGTTACTGCAAACAATGTTTAACATCAAATATCTCCATATATTTTTGTGCGGTTAACAAAGTATGACTTTTAAGATACATATTTTTAATTGAATTAGTTCGTTAAGTGCATTAAAATATATGCAGTATTGACTGTTTATTTTCGAATAAATCTAGATTAAATTGCATGACGCATGACAAAAATACCATCGTAATGCTTAAGAGCATTCAGAATCCTTAAGTATCCCTTCTGTTGTTTGTAAATCTTATTGACATTTACCTGTGATTGCCGCATGTATTTTTATGTACAGTTGACAGTGTCAGTTCCTTGCAATACACAAGTTTCGAGATTATCTCACTTATTGCGCTCTTTCATTACGGAGGGAAGTTTTGTTTCCCCATAACCCGGCAGGTGGGACAGTTATTTGTAACGTTACATCATGGATATGCCAGTCTATTAAAACTTTTTTTCCGGAATGCACTCATCAAATTCGAAAATTACCTAATTTAAGTAAAGACGTCAACTTTTTTTCTACCAAAATAATCGGAACTAAGAAAATGTCAGTGGATAAGGCTCATCAGACGAAGAAGAGAGATGGATCTCTAATAAACAGCTGATAAATACACTTGAATTTGATCATTGCAGTTCGGCATTCTGAATGACACACCGAATCTTGCCATTATAATTATTTCAAAGAGTCCACTAACTTTTTAGAAAAAAAAGGTTAGTACAATCAAGGAAGCATCTATTTCACAAAGCAATCTGTTAAAAACTATGACGGTTCTTCATTTTTCAAATATCCTTATTGAAAGTAGATTTGTGAAACTTTTATAGTAATGCTCAATAAAATCATCAAAATCATCGCTGTTTGACGTTATAATCAATCTATAACATTAGATGAGTTTTCAGAGCCCTAGTCATCGTTCATTTATTTATGCACGTTTGTATACATGGACAACCTGTCCCACTTCCATGCTTATATGGATACTATTTGCGCCTCTATCATTGAAGAGCTAAATTCTCGAAACTTGCGTATAAAATTCCTACAATACGCAGTCCATCCAATGTCTATACAATCTTTTATGTAAGCGGAAAATTTATTTATATTCAGTTAAAATGCCAATTCTTCTCAATTAATTGTTTAATTATGGATTTTTTTTCATTGCCTTATATTTCTATTTCATCGCCATGAATCAAATTACTGTTTCTGTAATATCATTACATTTCACGAAACCACTTTCACTTTCCATTTTAGAAATTACACAATCACTTAGCCAGTTGCACCTACCTACCAAAGTACTGTTATCATTGATGCAAATAATTGTAATTGATTATGTAATGATTGATTGATAAAATGAAAATATGAATTTCTTAAGATTATCAATCTCATTAAAGAAGAACAAATTAAATCGTATTATCCAATGTTGCATTCATAAGGAAAAAAGAAGGTAATGTCATATGAAATGTCCAAAATTGAATTGTCTCTTCAATCACAATCAAGCTGGAAAAGGTGGAGGAACGTCTACTAAATGTGTGTGTCTGCCCAAAAAGGCAGTTGTGCAAATTGCTTTACCATGGAACAAGAAGGGTCTTCATATGGCAAATTTTCTTTGACAATTTTTTTGATTCAAAGTAAATATTTAATTCTAGACAGGTTTACACGATTTTCCTCAAACAAAACATATTTATCGTTTGCTGTTTGCTTAATGATTGCATGAAGAAATTGTTGATTATCAGTTTAAGAGAAAATACCTGTATCAGTAAAAAGTTCCTTTTTACCAAATTTAAACGTTAGGTACTCAAGAATACAATTCTTAAACAGCTATATTCTGGACCATTCAATCCATCAACATATTAAGCAATGCTTTCTGTTTTTGTATCACATTCAAAAGCTTATTTATTGATTGTTATGAAATCATATAAAGCATTTGATATGCATGATATTTGAACTTGTTTGATCTTTCCATTGAACAACTCTTGAATATCTTTCAAATGTTTTACATGAACTCTCAGACTAAATTGCCAGCATGAGTCCATATAATATTTGTTATACCAACAAATTAACCAACCACTTGAAACCGACATACGTTTATTGTGACTGGTGTTTATGAATAATTCTAAATGTTTTTATATCTGTCTTGCAAAGTTTGTACCTTTCCTACGTTCCTAAATTGATTGATTGATTTTTTATTTATTGTTTTACGTCCCATTAGAGAATTGTTCACTCATATTAACGCTTCATTAACAGGTGAAGGGCTTAATATGTAGACATATACTCGGCATTCATAGATGGAAAATAAATCAGAAAAAAAAATATTTTAATTTCATGTGAATTTTAGATAGAAAAACTAATATATAACGGGTTGACTTATCTCATAAACGGCGACGCGCAGCTGAACCATACTGTTGATCACTTTTTATACGCAAGAACTTTATTTTTGCGTAATTACGCGAGACTGCCTGCTCACGAAAATTAAATTCTCGCGCATATGTGTAGTACAGAAGATAATCTATATTATGTCTCGCTTATAAATACCTTATGTCCATCTCGCGAAATGAAGGTGTCGCGAAAATTTGTTGATCCTCAATATTTAAAATTTATCAACCCCGATATATTTCTGTAGACAGTCAGTAACAAACCATTTTTTCTCGAAAATCATAATCTGTATTATACAGACACAATTATTGATGAACAAGACATTTGAATTCAAAATATAAATCTGTTTATTGTCACAACATCTTGCTTTTTAGTCCCCTCCAATTTCACACAATCAAACCTTTCAAAATTACCGTAAAAGTAGAAATTTTAGCGAGGATTCAACATTGGCATTTTTAGCGATGGTGTTGGGATCGCGAAAATTAAATATCGCTAATAATTCATTCCCACAGAGATTACTATTATCTTTCAAGACATCACAAAATCG